GCTCGCCTAGCATGCGTGCGGCCCGGGTTCGATCCTCAGCAGCACCACATACCAACAAAGATGTTGTGTCCGCCGAGAACTAAGAAAAATAAATAAATAAATGTTAAAACTCTCTCTCTCTCTCTCTCTGTCCCCCTCTCTCACTCTCTCTTTAAAAAAAAAAAAGAATCATAAGTGATATATTCATAACTAGCATGTTAAGGATTTTTTTTAATCTTACATATTTCTTTTTTTTTTTTAAAGAAGATTTATTTATTTATTTATTTATTGAGAGAGAGAGAGAGAGAGAGAGAGAGAGAGAGAGAGAATCTTAGTTTTTGGCAGACACAACATCTTTGTTTGTATGTGGTGCTAAGGATCGAACCTGGGCGGCACGCATGCCAGGCGAGCGCGCTACTGCTTGAGCCACATCCCCAGCCCCATATTTCATTTTTAATGTGCTATAATGTTTTTAACTACTAAAAGTATGTTTATTGCTTATTTTACCTTAAATGTAATATGACATATAGAGAAAACTTGTTCGAAGACTCCGTCCTTCACTTTAACAAAAGCCACCCATTTCATAGATGATTTAATTTTGATTAACCTATTCCATTGTAACAGATTATTCCAACAACAGGGATTTCACTGGTTGGTATTATTTCTAGGTGCAGCTTAATTTACAGAACAGCTTTTCTTTCCATCTTACCAAAATACATCACAATTTTGATGTTAACTCAAAGTAAAAATTCACTGGTTCATTAAGCCTCGTTGTAGAATTCATTGACAAGAGATTTGTCATTTCAAAAGTAACTGCTACTTTTCTGCACTCTACTGCTCAGTTTGTAACCTTAGATTCCCTGTCAGAGAAAGCATGGAGTTAACCACTTAGCATATTGTAATGAATATTCATCAGTAAATTGATGTGCCATGGCAGTCCTATTTTTCAGTCGCTCTGTTAGTCTTTTCCAGTTTTAATATATTATAGCTTATCATGTAAAAGAAACTAGCTAAGAAAATCTTTAGAACTATAATACTATATTTTTTGGCCATGTTAATAGTCTTTTAGTCACTATTTATTAGTTTATGATAAGAATGTTCCTTGTTTCAAAGGAACATTCTTTAATCTGATGTTATCGAAGTTAGGCATTTTTGCTAGATGTTTTTGATATATGTTGATAATTGCTTAAGCTCAGCTTAGACAAAAAGTGTGACATTTTGAAATTTTTCAGAACAGCATACCTGTTTTTATTTTCCTGGAAATTTATTTAGCTTAATCATTTTAATGAAGCTTGAGTTTAAGTCCCAATTATAATTTCTAAATTCATTTTTAATCCATATAGAAGGGGAAGTATATACATTGATTCTAAAGTAAAAATCTGAGACCATATATTTAAATAGTTGATACTCATGTAACTACAACTAAAATAATTATAGGACACGTGGCCCATGGCAATTGCTGTATAACAGGCAGATGCAGATCACTAACAAACTTCATCTACATTTTAAATACTAAAAGGAAAAGAATGTCTGTAAACAAGACCTTTTTTGTTAAATATGTAGATTATGAGGTCACTTAGCACTAAACTACTGGCCATATGCATTATAACAGGAATTTGACACCTGTCACTGGAAATGGTACTTAGAAGCCAGATAAGTCAACAAAGTTGATGGAGGAGAATAAGATGTGTAGGTAACTGTCCAGGTAACTCAAAATCTCTTAATTCACTGTGGTTAAGAATGACCTGTACAAGTAACTCAAAATCTCTCCTTGATTTTAGGATTTATATCCAAAGAACTCTACTGGTTAACAAAATTGATTAGGAAAGCTAACAGAATTAGCAGAAGATAAAATATATAATGTACTTTTTCTCACACTGAATATTTAATTGAAGTAAATGTCCTTTTCTAAAAGTCAACTTTTGAGTTAAATGTAATTAAATTATTTTATTACATTACACCTGCAGATGACTATGGCAGAATTTTATCCTAATGTTTGAGCAGTATAGTATAGCATCCCCAGCAGTTATACTGTTTTCAGATTAATAATCTGTCATATATGAGAATTCATCTAAAAAGGAGTAGTGTCTTTCTGTTTCTCTATGTGATTATTTTGCCCAAAAAAGCTTTCATTTTTTTAAGTAGCACAAAAGCTGTAATTGGCATGCTTTGTAAGGAAGTGTCAATGTGCAAGAGAGTGGCGATCACTAAGAATTCTTTTACGTGTTCTTTCCCCTTTGCACCACCGCCTCCTCAGCAGGGTCACTGAGATCACTAGCTTTTCTTGAAATGGCCATTTTCACTGGCAGGTGCATTATACCCTGTATTTTCAGATTGTTTTTCCATTCTGAATGTTTGGCAGGTTGATTGCTCTGGCTGCATTGACGGAGAAAGGGCTGACAAATGCGGTTGGGCTGGCTGAAAAGACAGTGATTACTGTTTTCCTTTGTGGCTGATTGAGGCCCTTGAAAGGAAAAATTTTAACCTTCACCATTTGGTTCAAAAGTATGAGCATATATTGAAATCATTCGTGCCATTTATCCTAGTTCTGTAAACTTGTCAGAACGTAAAAATCGCTCAATTTCAAGTAATGTAGGATTGGCATACGTCATTATCATTTTGATTAAGTTGGAGGTTGTATCATTGTGTGCATTATACAGTGTCATTTGAAGCTTTCTTTCCACAGGTACAGTTATATTTTTATTGCTTATACTATAGAGTTAGAAAGATTTTCATAGCTCTCTAAGCCTAACACTATGTGTGTGGTTTGGCAGCTGGTGTGGCCTACAAGCTGCATTTTGTTTGCAGGGTAAAGGCTTGTCTGTAGGCCTCCTGGAGTGCGGGTAATTGCACAGGCTCACCATTGGGGAGAGACACAGGATTGGAGGCAGTCAAGCGTAAGAATGTTATGCCATCCCATTGCCACCTTATAGCAGAAAGACACAATCCCAGCAGTGCCATCTGGTTGTTGCTATCTAGTCAGCTGGCCTGGCTGCTGGGACCTTGACTTGGCAGCTGGTTCCCATCCTTGACCATTCTTTTGTGCACATTGTATGTATGTGTGTTTTAGATGATTTTGTACATGGGTCAAGGAAATGACTATAACAAGTGAAGTCCCTATGTCGAACAGGCTCTCATTACTTGAGATACATTCTGCTGCAGGTGTCTGCTGCCTCCCTTTATAGACAGATAACACATGCTTAGTAATGAAAATAAGGATTTTCTTCATAAAAAACCTATCTCAGTTTGTTGCAAAAGAGAAGGTAGACAAGGTTACATGTCCTGTAACATTTTTAAATAAATTATTTTAAGTTACTTCCTGGTTTGGGAATGTGAGATTTGAGTAATTTAGTCTTTGAAACGTATATCTTAATATGTATTTTTATTAAAACTAAAGAAAGCATTATTATAAGTGCTTATTGCCACATCATACAACGATGGATAATGAGACTTGCATTTAAAATGACAGAATAGAAAATGTGGTCCTGTAGCTATTATCTTTAAAATCTGCCTCTCAAATAGCAACCTGAGAGTTAATGTAAGCCGTCTTTATGCCATATGAAGACCCATTAGACACTGATGGTTTCAGATCACAAGTAAGCAGCCAGCTCTGTGGGCTATTTTAGACATTTGATTTTCTTCATTCTACAGCATTAATGTGTCAGCATGCTATATAAAACTATGCAGGAGTTGCTTGTTGTTCTGTCTGGAATGATAAATGCTTGCAAGCTTTTAGAGACTTCTATGAGGAATTCGTCCTACATGCTTATATATCTTGTTTCTGCTTTGTAGCTATAGAATTTAGTGTGACTGTTGATGAGGTACCACATAGGTATGTATAAAAGGCAAGAGGGTTCCACTTAATTCTTTAAGATTGTGTTGGGAAAGCTCATATTATTTGTACTTATTCTTGGCACAGTGGTTTGCTTTTACTTTTATCTAGGGAGTTGTGATATCTTTGGAAATTACTACCTCAGAGTTACTAGCTATTTTCATGAAAATAATATTTGTTTTTTTCTGTTTTTTAGATGAAGAGGAAGATGATGATGTAGTGACTCCTAAACCACCTATTGAACCTGAAGAAGAGAAAGTTTTAAAAAAAGATGAAGAAAATGAAAGTAAAGGTAACTTAAAGAATTTAACTTTAAATTTTTTTTATTCTTCTTAAGATTTATTATTTATTAAGCAATTAAAATAGAATGAAATGCTCTAAATAAAAAGAGGTGAATGTTTAAAAAGAATGTGAGGCATTCCCTGAATCCTGTTATACTGTGTTGACATAATTTGACTAACATAAATTATAGTTAAAAAAATATTCATTTTCCAGCTCCGCCTCATGAGCTGACTGAAGAAGAAAAGCAACAAATCTTACACTCAGAGGAATTTTTAAGTTTCTTTGACCATTCTACAAGAATTGTAGAAAGAGCTCTTTCTGAACAGATTAACATCTTCTTTGACTATAGTGGGAGAGATCTGGAAGACAAAGAAGGGTAATGTTTAACTGATAACACAACAGCTTCAGCAGTGTTAAATTATTTTAAGATTAAGAATGACATAAGTCATAACAGTCTTTTTTTGGATTTGGTTTTTTCTGTAGAGAGATTCAAGCAGGTGCTAAACTATCACTAAACCGGCAATTTTTTGATGAACGTTGGTCAAAGCATCGGGTTGTTAGTTGTTTGGATTGGTCATCTCAGGTAAAATATAACAAAATTGGTTATTATTAAGTTTTTTTAAATTATAATTAGCATGTGGTTTTATTTTAGTTATAGGAACTTTGTATGATTGAATCAGTATGTATCATTTAAAATTGAATAATGGATGATGGTTCTGTGTTACCATATTCATTTCATCTTAAGTACTTTGGAAGAAAGAAATGGGAATATTATTTATATTTGAAATTCAGAACCTATGCCAAAACCTAGCTTTACTGATTTCAGTTACTCACAAAATACTTTGTATGAAATACAAACACATACTTCAATTAAATTTTTTACTATTAAAATATTTTAAATAATTAACTGTACTAATTTAAAATTGTACTAATGCCAGGCACAGTGGCACATGCCTGTAATTCCAGCTAATCAGGAGGCTGAGGCAGGAGGACTCACAAGTTCAATGCCAGCCTGGGCAATTTAACAAAACCCCATCTCTAAAACAAAAAATAAATAAAATTGTACTGATATCCCAATTAATATAAACATAGAGACGTCTTTCTTAGAAGTATTAGATATTTGTACTTTCACAATTATCTGATAGTCAAGTAAGAAAGAGATGTCTTAATTGGTGAAGTGGTAGATATTTGTACTTTTCAGAATGATAGGATAGTCAAGAAATAGTTCTTATTATGCATTCCCTTTCTTTTCTACTTGGTTCTGACGAGCAGTATCCCGAGTTACTTGTGGCTTCCTATAATAACAATGAAGATGCTCCTCATGAACCTGATGGAGTTGCCCTTGTATGGAATATGAAATACAAAAAAACTACTCCAGAGTATGTGTTCCACTGCCAGGTAAGATGGTCTTTCAACAGTCTTCCACAAGTTTAAGGATTCATTAATGAATTTAGACAGGTGTCTTTTTTTCTGTTCTTGTCAACATTATGATTTCATTGGATTGGCATTTACTAAACCACTTTATGTTTGCAAACAGATGTTAACAGAAAACTGACTTCTCAGTTCAACATAATCTGGCTTTTGTAGCTTTACTGACATGTCTTATAATGTTTAATCACACTGAAATCCCTTTACAGTTATGATTTTCTGTTCTTGTGATTGATCATATATATGGAATCTTTTATAAAACGTATTTCTACAGGGAGTTTCTCAGGAACTTATTTACTGAATATACAATTAGATGGTTTGCCCACTGAATTACTTATACATGGCCTGAGGAATTGGAACTAGATAGTTTTAAGTAGAAACATATGGTTCAAGTAGGAAACAGCTGCAGATTTTTTAAGTGGATTTAACAGACAGAATTTGCAAGTCTTTTCTGGTTGCATAAGTTAAAATCTTTTAATAATGTCATAATCCTAAATAAACACTTAACCTGAATTAAAACTATATACACTCTGTCATATTACAGTCATGTGTCAGTTGCAAGGCCATTTATCTAATACTGCAATCAAATGAAATAACTTTTTACTTTCTTTGATAAATTGCTTTTAAAATATAGTTACATAGTAGGCATTACATTTTACTTTTAAGCAAAAAATATTCTAAATATTTTAATGAATTTGTCTCAATAGCTACTAATACCTATAGTGCAGATGGAAATATTTTGAATAATAAATTGATTTTATAACTTATTAAACTTTTTCCTTTTAAATCTGAAATATAAAAATCCTACTTACTTGCAGTCAGCTGTGATGTCTGCTACATTTGCAAAATTTCATCCAAATCTTGTTGTTGGTGGTACATATTCAGGCCAAATTGTGCTTTGGGATAATCGTAGCAATAAAAGAACACCAGTGCAGAGAACTCCACTGTCAGCTGCTGCACACACAGTAAGTATAATAAGGTTATTTTCCTTAGACTTCTATGCTCTTTCACTATTAACTACTTAGTAGTGTCTGTCTACCAGAGTGGTTTCAAAATGTGTTTCCTTTGGTGTATGAACTCCTCCTCAGATAGCAACCAAGAACAAAGGTCTTTTTTCTTTATTTTGGGAGATCTGTTTATCAGGAACTTATGTCTCTTCTGAGACAACCTTTTGTTAATCAATAGAATAGCAGCAAACTTCACATTAAAAATAACCTCAAGTTACAACAGAATACCTGTGATTAACCTACAGTTTTTGATATGAAACAGAGTACCTATGATTAAGCTTCAATTTTTGCTTCTATTTTTAGTAAAATAATTCATGAAAACTTTCTTTTCATGTCTTTAGCATCCTGTCTATTGTGTTAATGTCGTTGGAACACAAAATGCTCACAATCTGATCAGCATCTCCACTGATGGAAAAATATGTTCATGGAGTCTGGACATGCTTTCCCACCCACAGGTAGGTTAAACTTGCGAAACAGAAATTTTGAAGTATGTTGTTATTTTTAAACTGTGTATATACCCCAGCATATGTTTTTCATAGTGTTTCATAATATAATAACAGATTATAAATCTAAGCATGTGTCAAAAGTACTGTGCTATGTGTATCTTTTATTTTCAAACATGATTGCTTTAATTGTGGTTTATGTAAGTAATATATTAAATATCTCTTAAAATTATTTAAAACTAGAAGTTTTTCTTTGAAAATTTAAAATTGACTGTTTACAAAATAACGTCTTTTCTTTTTTTTTTTTTTTTCTTTTTTCCACCCTATATAGGATAGCATGGAGTTGGTTCACAAACAGTCAAAGGCAGTAGCTGTGACATCTATGTCTTTCCCTGTTGGAGATGTCAACAACTTTGTTGTTGGGAGTGAAGAAGGTTCTGTGTACACAGCATGCCGCCATGGCAGGTAAACCTAAACTGGAATTTGCACTTATTTAAAATCCCCCTTGAATAATCTCATTGAAACAGGTTGCCCCTTATTTGAGTAGAAATTAGTCCTAGAACTACTCATTATTTGTGACAGGTTGAGTTCAGGCATATAAACTTAGAAGTTAACTTTTTAAAAAGTATCTCTAATTCATGATGTGTTCTGGATTTTGTGGATTGTGGTGTGTGCATGCACTCACAGAAGTTAGTGGTAGGGAAGAAATTTAGCAATTACAAATACAATATGCACATGCCACATACTGGCTTTCAAATTTATAAATAAGATTTTCAGCTATTTTCCCATTTTTTTATTTATTTGAACTTTGTGCTTTAGTTCAATCCTCCTGATATTCATACAGTAATGTCACGTACACATTTAAAATTGACTAGTACTTCTCCCGCTGTTCAATCTGTTTTGAAATTGTCTAGCTGTACCTTTATCAATTGCTTCCTTTAAAAAAATTGTCTGGGTTTTATCTCAAATACAGATCACCTTCACTTCAAAGCTTTTGATTTAAAAGTAGCCCAGATTGGCTCTCTTACATATAATATTTCTTTGTCTCAATTCTGCCATCTCAAATATTGTACTTTTGAATTCTCTTGTCAACAGCATGGTATTTATGCTTCCAAAATGTACTTAGTCCTTTAGTAGTATTATCAAATCTGGACAGATAACACTCAACGTAAGTTATTCTGATGCATTATGAGCACAGAGTTAAGTTTGTGGAAATTAAGTCAAGCTCTGATATATAAACCCACCATAATATGTTTTTATAAGTGGACTGCTTTAAAAGATATCCATAACATTTTTATTTTTATGAAATAGCAAAGCTGGAATTAGTGAGATGTTTGAGGGACATCAAGGACCAATCACTGGCATCCATTGTCATGCAGCTGTTGGAGCAGTAGACTTCTCACATCTTTTTGTCACTTCATCATTTGACTGGACAGTAAAACTTTGGACAACTAAGGTATCTAAAATATAGATATATCTGCTCATTTGGTCAGATTTCTGACACAAGGTGGTGCTCTAATACTACATAAGAAAGATGGAAAGTTTTTAAATAGCTTAGAATTGTTTACTAATAAATCATACCTGGTAAGAAGTTACATAGAGCATGAGTGATGTTGTTGTTTTCTTAAAAGTATGCTGGCAAATATACCACAACCTCAGGTTTTTCAAGCATAGAACTGTTTTATCATAAACTGAAAATGGGGGAAAAGCCTCTGGGTGTCTCACATGGTACCTCAAATAGTTGTCATTCAGCCCAACACAAAAGCTATACATTTGCTCTTTGGAGAACTTCGAGGCTTATTCAGAGCTATAGTGGCTCACAGAGCTGATAGGAAGTAGAGAAAAGACTGAAACAGATCTATAGTCCTAAGGCTATACATAATAAACCTTAATCATTAAGAAAGCATTGTGAAAAGGTATGGGTCCTTTTTGTTATTGTCATTGTGTAATGGTTTGCTTTGGTCTTAGTAAACATCAGTTATTTGAAACACATGTTTATATGATAAAGTGCTTCCTGATCCACCAGCAATTCCAATAAATACAACCTTGCCCTGTCTGGTTAAAAGTCTCGAGACAAATTCATGTAGGGAACAGTGCCTCCTATGACAGGCATTTTGTAGTTTCGTTTGATCCCATTTTACGATAAAAGCACCTTACCTTTGCTGCACTATTGCTTTGTTGGTGGTAAAACTGCATATTCCACATAGAAGGTTCTATTTAAACAAATTAAAATTTTTTACACTTTATTTTTTTTCTGTCCAGCTACCTTACCCTAAATGTTGACTTTTTGAATAATTCATCATGGATAGTTTAGAGTCCTTCTTTGGTTATTCAATTTTTTTGAGAAAACCTATAGACTTAAAAGATGTCCTTCACTATTATGGTGAACTCCTGTTTATCTATTGAGTACTGCATTAGAAATCTGGGATAAAATCACTGTTCACTGTTGTTCTGTCTTGGTGCTTTCTTTCAGTCTAATATGTAATGAGTTAGAAAACTCTGCTTGTCTGCCTATCAAAGCTTGCCTTTTAAAATTGAGAATTTTTAGGTTTGACATTAACAAATTAAAATAGTACTTACCTTTTTGCGGGGAACAGGGGTACTGGGGATTAAAGCCTGGAAGCCACATCCCTAGCTCTTTTATTTATTTATATATTTTAAGTGTGTGTGTGTGTGTGTGTGTGTGTGTGTGTAAGATATTGGTAAGATACTGAGGCTGGCTTTGAACTCTTGATATTACTGCTCTAGGATTATAGGCATGTGCCACTATACCTGTCTAGCCCTTACCTTAACTAATAAGGAAGCATCTAGAAAAGTGTTTAATGTGGTTTTCAGCATGTAATAGGCACCAATGTTCAGTTCCTTTTTCTCTATATATACGTATATATATGTGTGTAGTAGTATGTTACTGGGGATTGAACCCAGGGGTGCTTAACCACTGAGCCATATCCCCAGTCCTTTTTTGTATTTCATTCAGAGACAGGGTCTCATTGAGTTGCTTGCCATCCTCCTGCCTCAGCCTCCCCAGCCGCTGGGATTACAGGTATGCGCTACTGCACCCAGCTCCTTTTTTATATTTTATTTAGAGACAGGGTCTCCATGAGTTTGCTTAGGGCCTTGCTAAGATGCTGAGGCTGGCTTTGAACTCGAGATCTTCCTGCCACTGGGATTACAGACATGTACCACCACACCTGGCTAGCACTTACCTTAACTAAATAAGGAAGCATCTAGAAAAGTACTTAACATGGTATACAACATGTAACAGACACCAATCTTCAGTTCCTTTTTCCTCTTAATGGGGATTAGACAGAGCCTAAATGCATTCTATTTTTATTTATTTATTTTTTTTAAAAGGCTGTGTTTTTTTTAAAGAGAGAGAGAGAGAGAGAATTTTTTTTTTTTTTAAAGTGAGAGAGGGGGACAGAGAGAGAGAGAGAGAGAGAGAGAGAGAGAGAGAGAGAGAGAGAATTTTAACATTTATTTATTTTTTCTTAGTTCTCCGCGGACACAACATCTTTGTTGGTATGTGGTGCTGCTGAGGATCGAACCCGGGCCGCACGCATGCTAGGCGAGCGCGCTACCGCTTGAGCCACATCCCAGCCCCAGAGAATTTTTAAATATTTTTTAGTGGACACAATATCTTTGTTTGTATGTGGTGCTGAGGATCGAACCTGGGCCACACGCATGCCAGGCGAGCGCACTACCACTTGAGCCACATCCCCAGCCCCTAAATGCATTTAAAAAAATTTTTTTTAGTTGTAGATGGACACAATACCTTTATTTTACTTATTTATTTTTATGTGGTGCTAAGGATCGAACCCAGTACTTAACACTTGCGAGGCAAGCACTCTACTACTGAGCTACAACCCCAGCCCCAATCTAAATGCATTTAATAAACCATTTTCTTTCTTTCTTGGAAGGTTCTTGAGTTGGGAAAAGGTAGAGAAAGAAGATTCTTATAACCATTAGTAAATAAATGCATAATCTAGCTAGTAAAACCAAAGCAAGATACAGAATTAGAAAGATAAAGCTAATTATTTCTCTATAAGGTTCAACAGCCATAAAAGTGGCTAGATTTCTGGATGTGCTTTTACCTTAGTAGTCCTGTGTGTAGTCACAGGAGATGTTATGTCCTTGTTAGGTTTTAGCCAGTTTCCTTTTTTTATAGTTGAAAAGAATCTTATATCAATTTGTAGATGGGTTGATTTTTTTAAATCTCAGGGCTTCAGTTTGCTAGTCTCCTTTTGGCTTTAAATTTGAGGTTTTCATCTTTATATACATTAACAACAGGATTTGAAATGAATATTTCATCTTGCCTAATCAAGAACAGAACTTATCTGTGATAGCAGACATATTGTTGTTTGGTTTTGTGATACTACACAGCTAGTTGATGGGTAATTGATATTTTTGTTCTTGTATTTTACTGTATTTCAACAGTAAATAAGGGTGATAAACTATCTTTCCTTGCTAATTAAGCTAGACATTGTTCCTTTATTTGTTCAATTGTGATACATGCCACTCCCCTGCCCCATCTCCTTCCAACATTAATGGCCAAAGGATGGACCAGCATAGAATAGGGTGTTTTTTGAGTGTCCCAAGTACCATCTAAAATGTTATACATTCTTTTTTGCACTTACATTCAACTAGCAACAATATACTGAATAGATGTTTTTATGGGTATTCTATGGCTCCCAGAGTTGTGATTTTTATCTTGAATTTACACTTGCTACTTTAATTATTGCTGGTATTTATTTCTACACTACTGAAAAACTTAAAGGAGCCCCTGTACTGTAATAATGTTATAAACAATGTTAATAGACCATGAATGATAATATATAATAGGCAGTGTTTTAAAATCTCCTTTCAAAAACATTTTTCCAGCTGGGCCAGGTGGTGCACACCTATAATCCCAGCCACTCAGGAGACTGTGGCAGGAGGATTACAAGTTCAAGACCAGCCTGGGCAACTTAGCAAGACTGTCTCAAAATAAAAAATAAAATGACTGGGGATATAGCTCAGTAGTGGGTTCAATCTCTACTACTACTGGGGGTGAAAAAAAAATTCTATTTTAAGCTTTTTAAACCAATTGTTCACATAATTTAACACACTTTAAACACTTTGCTTCTCTGCCTCTCCTTTTTAAAAGTGCATACTTACTCTTGGAATTGAGTTCCTATAAAGTATAATAATGAATCATTAGATATTACTTTACCTTAATATCCATTTTAAGTGCCAGCTCCTCCTCAATAGCAAAACTAGATTCCTTTTTTTCCTCTCATTCTATAAGTCCTCTAAAAATGTGTGGAAATCCTAGTTTGACACTGCCTCAAATTTAGTTTAATCTACTTCTGTGTTAGTTTCTAATCTTTGCCTGGACAGTAAATTTATATTCAGTCAAATAGTTGCAGTTCATCAAATTCATCTGTTTTTAGAATAGAAGACAGGCAAAATTAGATTCTTCAACATATTGGTGATGTTTAAACCAATCAAGGATTGCTTCTAATACATTTGGTAATCACTGTTACCATCTCAAAATACCAGATTTGAAAATTCACAGCAGAAGCATTTTTGGCAGGTCTGAAAAATGGTAGGGAGAGTAAATGAGGAGTGGAACCTTCTTCAGGGTTACCAAGGATTGTGGAAGAGCTTGATTAGGGGTAGGTCTGGTAAATTAGCTGAATGCTTCAACCATACTTGTTACAGGTTACTCTTAAAATGTAAGAATTATTTATTTGAAGGGCAAGGTGTTTTAATGTAGGTGCAGTATATTCTAGTTTCAGAATAAACATTCATCAGAACCATATTTGCCATGAAGTGCCAAAGTTAAGATTGTTAGTGTGATCGTTTCTTAAAATAGGTAGATTTAAGACTTTTATAGTCCATATACACCTTGAAAAATTTCACAATCCTTGATGTCTCAAAGGCACTCCTTATTTCAACAACTTATCTTTTTTTAACTTTCAGATGATACTAGCATTAAAACAGCACATAATAGAGTATGTAAAATGAAAAACATGCTCTGAAGTTGAGGTATTTCTTGCGGAAGGCTGACTGATGATGCAGACCTAGCCCTGTCTAGCAGCCTTTGCCTCAGTAACTTAGCACTGGCCAGTGTTGAGCCTTTCCTTTGCATATTCAGAAACTCAGTTTTGTCATCCTACTAGAGTTGATTAGACAAAGGAGTGCTGAATGGAACAGGCTCCCAGGACACTGATCCATTGGAGAATATCAATTTATTAATTTACAGTGTGAAACCTAACTGCCAGAAGATCTAGATACTCCTGCTGGCTTGACCAGCTCATTGTTTCCCTGTAGACAATCCACATGGGAAGCCAAATTATAATCAGAAGATTGCTTGGTGAGCAAGGAATTAGAACAAAAGAAGTTTTATAATTTGAATATTCAGTGGCATCAAGCTAAGATAGCTTGATTCACTCATCTTCACATAGAGATAGC